ATAACCTATAAACACGTTAGCACTGCAGCTAACATTTATGTCTGATAACCTGTCAACACGTTAGCACTGCAGCTAACATTTATGTCTGATAACCTGTCAACACGTTAGCACTGCAGCTAACATTTATGTCTCTATCCGATCCGTACAGGAAGCATGATTCGTATCATCGGCTCATGTACATGCGTAGGTAGATATTCATCCAGGTCGCTATAAATAATGTAATTATGTTACTGAAAGTACTTATTTTTATCTTTAAATCAATAAAGAAGAGAACTACATCTCTAAAAAAAATTGTGATAGGACTTTTCTGAAACATTTTTGATGTTTTTTCCCCATTTTCTCCGTTAAACAGCTTCTCTGACATCATCATGGGACATGCTCAGAGCAGTCCGGCTAAAACAATATTTATCTGCATTTTACTTGTTTCTTTCTTTAGATTATGCACTATATACCAGACAGACAGACAGACAGGGAGGACGACCTGTATGCACATATGGTTGGGCAGATGAGCTAACATGGTGAACTTACATATTTGAGAAAGATATCTCCAACACTTCGTCCTTCTGACCAGTCGGTTAGGAGCTCCTCCAGGTCGTGCTGGTGAACAAACATTTCAATCAATAAGGATCAAACTGAATCATAACTTTTGCCTCCAAGGATGAAAAACTCATTTACCTCTATTTTGGTGTGAACCTCATAGATTTCTGGGATGCTGCCAAAAATGGTCTTAATTTCCTCTGGAGCCAAGATGGGGCCGCCTAGTTGGCCCTCTTTCTCTAATGGATGCTTGAACAGCTGGAACCATCAAAGGAAAGAAGCATCAGAAGCCTGAAGCCATTGCCTTGCAGATTTCTTGCTTTAAACATTGTCAGTTTAACTCTAACGCTAAAGAAAACACTAATGCTAAATTAGCTGCTGCTATTAACTACAGGAACCTGGTAACCTTCTGAAACCGGACAGCCTGTTACAAAAAGGTCATTGGCCATTGCTTTAGGCCCCGCCTAAAAATGCTAACAGACAAAAAACAAAACAAAAAAAATCTACAAAGCAGAAAATACATTTTAACATCAATAAATACAATAAGATTTTAAGGTAGAACTCTAAAACTGTTAAATATTAGTAGATTCCCTTAAATTAGCCGACTGTGGATCAGGTCTGCTTCTTAAGCGTCAGAGAATAAACGACCATAAAATAAAGTTTATCCTGCAAAGAAAAACGGAGTGAAAAATATGAAGACCAAATAAGGAGGTGAGGGTCTCCTTCAGTGGGCTGGCATGAATGTGTGAGTGGCCAAGCTGAAGGTACCAACACAGCCACATTTAATGATCATTTCTTAGCCTGTTGTCACGGCAACCTGCCAGCCAGCCTATGAAGAAGAGTTAGAGGCTGCGGCACAGAGCGCTGCCTGGCTCACACCTACCTGTAGGATGGTGTTTAAAATGTCTACATAGTTGCTCTCGGTCTGACAGAGCTCCTTGGAGACCTGCCACCGGGCTGACTGCTTGGAAACAGCTGGAGTTGAACTCTCTGCAAGAAGACAGGCGGGTTTTAACACGACCATGAAGCAGACAACCATATAAAGGCATGTCCCATAAAAGCTCCCTTAAAGAAAAAGGCCACATAAAGCAGACAGAAAGAAACCAGGAGATATTTTCATGAGACACGAGCAGCAGGTAGACACAGAATAAAAAAAGAAAAAACATTTGATCACAGCTTAGAAAGTTTGCAGATGGGATTTATTCACAGAAAGTCTTTAGACGGCTGGTTTGGGAAGAACGTTTGTATTTAAATTGTAGTTCTGCACTCCCAGCAAAGTGACGATTGTTGGTCCAATCGGTCAGGAAGGAGAAGGCAGACCACCAGGAATGGAACTACAGACTAGGGTTGTCAAAAGTATGGAAACTCAGAAAAGTATCGATACTGAAATGTTGTATCCGGATACAA